CTCAGCAGTGTATTTCGTTGATCTGCCTGTTCTGCTCCCCACTCTGTCTCTGGTGAATTCTCTCACCCTCCACATCTCTAGCCTGTACCCCAGTTCTGTATGCACAAATAAAATAAAAATCTTTAAAAAAAAAAAATGATAGGCAAAGTTTAAGAAAAACATTCACCCAGGAGCCCCTGATGAAATGAGAAGGGGGGGGGCAGAGCAGCAGACTCTACTGCTTGCGGGCTGCCGAGAGCTGACTGCGCCAAGGTGACATCAGCAGCAGCAATGCTGCAAGCGTGCTACAAGATGCACCCAGGCACCGTTCATATGAAGCCCACGCCGCAAAGGGTGATCCGCCTTTACAAAAACCAAGGGCGCTAAACAACAGAGCCAGTAAGCCACACTACCGAGTAAAAAAGATTTGAGAAAGTGGAGAAATCTGACTTACTACTTGCAGCTTTTAAAAACTCAACTCACTCTCTTATCCCACACCCCTGCAAGTCCAAGAGTTTTCACACCAACTTTAAAAATGAGAAATGGCAAAACTTCCGTCACCAGGCAAGGCTGTAAAGGCTGCAAGATTTAAGCATAGTTTGTTAGGAGCATTCTGATGGGGTTCTTTGTTTTGTTTTGTTTTGTTTTTTAATAAAAACAGTGACACCTCCCACATTCTCAATAATGTCTATGCCAAGATATGATTTGAGGTTTCAAACAAAAAATGTCTTACCAAGAGGCTCACTACACCCTCTGCTCAACTACAAATTGGCTTCCACTGTCCCTGGCGGCATAGCTGTAACTGAGCAATAAGCCGAATTTCACAGGAGATGACACTCCTCCTCCCCAAACATCCTGTATTTATTGCCTCAGCGCAGTTAATACAGAAACTTGAAGATCAAAGAAAAGCAAACACTCTCTGTCAACTTCTCACATTAATCTACTGAGGTAGCAATGGATGTTGCACAAGAAAGTAAAGCTTCCTATCAACTTTATTAACTAGAACAACAAAGCCGTTTGCATTTTGACAAATTCCCTCTCATATTGGAGGAACATGTCAACAGAACCTTGAACAAGACAAAATCCTCACGTGTCTTCAATCACCAATAAGCAAAGGGCGTAACTAACTCTTAGGCCAAACTAAATATGAGTCTTCCAGAGACAAAGCACAACCAAACAGGCATTTCGGTGTTGGAATTAGCTTTGGAGAGTGAGAATCGGCAGCGAGGCTTCTGTCTGGTGAAGGCTATCTGTGAGAAGTGGCATCTGCCCAGGGAAAGAATCCAGGCAGAGGAAATGGAGGACAAGCTTAGATGACCTTTCCCTAAGGTCCTGCACCATCTAACACACTGCTACTCAACTAACAGCACTGCGTACCAGGGCATCCACCCCGAGCAAGGCTCAGACAGCTAGCAACAACAGCACTTGCTCCCAACTTGGCCACGTGGGCCCAGGGGTCCCACAGATGGCGCGGGCCCCCCTCCTGCTGCACTGCTCTGAGAGAGCAAAGACATGCAGAGCTACGAGGTCGACTCGGAGCTAATGCCAGCACCTTCAGTCAGTGGGAAGGGCGTACCACGCTTCTGGGAATAAAAGCTCCGGACTTGATCTCATCAGATGGGCTCGTTAAGAATGAAACTGAACTTGCCAATAGGACAGAGTTTCTACTTCTGAACCACCTGGGTGTTTCTAAGTGGCCAAGTACTGAGGTCAGCTGATTCCATGTAGACCCTGTTTACTTCCGAGAAACCAAATCCCACCTGAAACTAGACTACAGACTTCTATAGTAGGCGGCTCTCAAAACTACATGATCGGCTACAAGCTACACCTGGCTGGAAGCGTGGGCCAAGATGTACCTGAACAAACTGGCTTTCTGGATTCTTTCTTACTACTTAAGATTTCTTGTTCCTGAATATCTAACAGATTGGATTTTGTCACCATTATCCCAAAAAGCATACAGCTTGTGTATATATGAAATTGTGATGGGACCCAGTATTTCTAAATAAACACATGGGTGCCCCTGGTAAGCCAAGTAACTAGCAGTTAAAATGGCACAAGCAGGTAGAAATGTTAACACAACAATGACAAAGAAAAAAAAAAGCTTGAGCAGTTTCCACAGGAAGTCTGAGCTGGACCGGAACCAGCCCCATAAAAACTCTTTGTTTCAGTTTACTGCTGACAGACCTTCTAGAAGTTCAAAATTATGACAAAACAGATTTAAAACTCAGACATTTTTCAGAGCTACCACGTAAGATTTCCTTTTTAAATGCAGGGAACAAGTTGGTAGGAATTTGCTAGTTTGGACCTGCACACAGAATTTTAACCCTTATTACTTATGTTAACCATCTAACAAACTCACAAGCCCTGTTCAAACAATCTCTTAAGATGCTTCAAGAGACCAGAGTCCTAAGGAAAACTTTGAGTCAGCCCCGTTCGTAAAGACGATTCAGGCTCTCCCTGCCGGTGCAGCCGGCTAAAGCACAGCACTTCGAAGCGGCCACTGTAGTACAAGTTCGATCCCCGACCAGGGAGTGACCCACAGGGCGCAGCAGACCTCTCCCGTCTCCCTGCTACTCCCCTCAGCAGTGGATTTCAGTCAGTTCTGCTCCCCACTCTGTCTCTGGCAAGTCCTCTCATCACCCACACCTCTGGCCTGTGCCCCAGTTCTTGTAAGCATAAATAAATCAATCTTTAAAAAAAAAAAGATGAGTTAGCCTGTTTCAGCTAGGCTGGTGTGCACTTAGTGACTTTGCAGGAACACCCTGCCCTTGATTCTCTTCTGCCAGAAGCAAGATTCCATTTTCCACTTAAGAAAGAAAGGTCTGCAAACAGCGTGGCGCAGGGGAAGCCAGTGCCATGACCTTCACAAGGCCCGAGTCAACTCTCACCTCCACTGCCTGTCAGTCACACAACCCTGAACAAATCACTTCCATCCAGAAATGTAAGTGTTGACGCCGCCCTGACCCTCCTACAACGCTGCTAGACAGATCAAATGGCCCGTGCAAGCTGTAAAGCACTAGAAAATGTTGGGCTTACACCCAGATAAACCTAGTGTGCGGCTTCTCTTCTTTCTTAAAATCCCAGCAGAACTCTTTGGGCATTACCGTTGGCCATGGTATTGCCAACAGTGAGGAACACTGGCCGAGACTCAGATTCAGACCAGGGGCTGTCCATCCTTAACACACTGGACACTTTCTCGATCTAAACTGGACAGCAGCACTACTCACCCACCACTGAGACCGCTGTGAGGAGAAATGGGGGGGAAGTGCCAGGCAGAGTTGGGAGTACCCCAGTGCTGGTGACCAAGCCAGGGGAACTGGATCAGCTTTCACGCAAACTGGATACCGCCTCCCAGCTAATGCAAACAGGGCAGCCTTTTCCCAGGGAGCCTAGTACATTCCTTTACAACCTGGATGCGGCATCAGGGAACAACACAGCTCCGCTTTAAGTGCTGCACACACCCTAAGCAAAAGACTGTTCTCAAAACCACATTCTGGCAGCGGGCATTACGCCTTCTATGAGACACACCAACCCAGGTCTGCTGAAAGGAGATTTCCTATCAAGATGCAATCTGCTTCACAGAAATCCTTCTCAAAGATGCGGTTAAGGGCGCTGTCAGCTGCCCGCGCCAAGATAAATGCAAACATTACTGAGAGCTTCAGCCTCTACCCTTGTAGACGAAGGTGCGTCTGGCTTGTTCGGAGCCAGGAAGCCTCTGCAGCCTCCTCGCCACACCGATCCAGACCCAAGGACCCAGACCCAACGCACCCTGCCTCAGAGAGCCCGCCAGGACCCCGACACAGGCCTTTGCCCTGAAGCCAGGTATTTCCAGACCTTGAGGCCTCAGTCTTCAAGGCCTCCGAGTAGAAATCCACACAGAAATCCACACTGAAAACTGAATACACAGAAGAGACTCACCTGTAACCTCTCTTCCTCTCTTATGTGGGTGCTAGTCCACTCCTGGTGCCCCGCTGGTCTGGCACCTCACAAGAACCTGTGCAGCAGCCAACACCTGGGGGCAAGCCAAGCCTGCTAGGCCCAACCCCGAATTCTTCATTTGGCAGGGCTAAGGAAGACCTGAAAAAACTGCATTCCTAACAAGTTCCTGGTAAGGCTGCCCTTGCTGGGGGGGCAGGGGTGGGTGTCTGTGGGGGTGGCGCGCATCCTCTCACCTCTCCCCACTTTGAAACCGCTGCTGCGAGGCGCCCGGTGGGAGGAGACCGAAGCTCCCTCCCAGCAAATGCCCCTGCCTGGCTTAGCCTCCCCCGCCCGCTCTGTCCTAACCGAACCTTCTCTTGACCACCAACTGCACAAAAGTCGCTTTCCAGGCTGCTTCTAGGCCGCCTAACCATCCTACCTCCAAAGAAGAGTCTTTACAGAGCTACTGCAACTTCCACAGAACATCAGACTAACAGTGGCCACTGAGAGGGGAAACATCACTGCCTTTTTTATGCACCAGGTAACAAGTTATTGATTAGGTAATTAGTTGCACTTGTGCATTCTACCCAGTCGGAGAAGGGCAGTCTGGCTATCCTGACTCCAGCTTGATGATCCACTGCTTCCATTTTTCCATGACAGCTGTGAAGCTCAAGCTGGTTTTCACCCCCCACACATATGAATTTCCCCTTTCTCCTTTCTACTGAAATTGCTAATAAGGTATAATAAAGGTGAAGTCAGATTTGAGTTTGAATGTTGCATCTAGCACTGAATTGTTGTGTGACCTTGGGCAAGTTATTTGACCTCAGCTGTAAAAATGAGAGTGGTCTGATGATGTAAACAAAGCTCTCCTTGGCTGCTGTTTTCAGTAACCCCATATCCTCCGCCGATCTGAGGAGATTCCTGACTTCTGTCACATCAACTTCATGGCCCCACAAATAAGATCAACCATCCCCCTGCCTCAGCGTTTCATAATCCAATCAAACTATTTTCTTTCCTTTTAAGATTTTTTTTATTCATTTATGCATACAGAAATGGGGTACAGGCCAGAGGTGCAGGGGTGGTGAGAGGATTCCCCAGCGACAGAGTGGGGAGCAGAACAGGCAGATCGACGAAGTACACTGCTGAGGGGAGCAGCGGACGGGCCAGGAGAGGTCTGCCGTGCCACGTGGGTCACCTCCGGGGCAGGGATCCAACTCGCACTGAAGTGGCCATGGCTTGGCTTAGCTCTGCAGTGCTGCGCCCCAATCCACTGTGCCCCCAGGGCGGGCCAGTCCAATTATTTTCATGTAATCACTGTCTTGATCTCCCCTCCCCAGCTTCAGCTTCCCTATTTCTTAGGAATCATTCTGATCTTGGAAACCTAATTTCGGGTGAAATAAGATTGACTACTTCTTCAATAAGCATCTACATGTGTTCTCTAGCCTCCAAGTTCACATTCTCCAAACCCAACTTTAACCACAGACCCAAAAATCAGCCATTAATTTCCCCTTCTTCCCAAAAACCCAACATGGCGCCACATAGTGAAAAGAAAATACTATGTTCTAACCCCAAAGCAAACACAGCCTTCAAAATTTGCTTTTCATCACTGCTCACAATCTACTCACTTCCATTTTTAAAAATTAGAATCATTTAAATGGTAGAGGAACAGTAAGAAGCAAATTCTGACCATGAACAATGTCCTCAGTGAACTCCATTCCCCATTTCCAGGCTGAAAAGATCTCAGACACAAGAACTACAACTCCCAGCACACCATGAACTTAGCTAACTTCCTGAGTGGAGGGCTTCTGGGAACCAGCGCCAGAGTCAGGCAGTCATGCTTAACATGTAACAACACACAAAAGCTCTTGCTCGTTTCTAGCTTTGAAATGCACCCTGGTCCTGCTGGAAAGAGACACATGAAGGAGAGATATGTAGACACACTTGGAAGAGATACTTGATGGAGACATGTAGGTGAGAAACACAGAGGAGGCTGTTCCTGGGCTGTGGCAGAGATAATGGCAGCAGTTACCTTGACGTGGTTTATTTTGAATTTTGAGTCTCCCCTTCAGTCCCAGCTCTCTGTCTAACCCTTTTCTTGTGTGGTTCCTTGCCAGAAAGATTTAAATTTGTGGCAAGTTTTTGGATTTCAGCATCCCTCTTTGGGCTGAGTCTATTTGGTTGGGCATTTACCCAAAAGGGGATGAGTAATTTTCAGAATTCTGTTAGGGCTCCTTTCTTCCTTCCTTCCTTCCTTTCTTTCTCAATCTCCGTCTCTTTTTCTACCCCTACACACACACACACACACACACACACACACACACACACACACACACACCAATTCTATTAAAAATCTTTCACATTAAGAATCTGATTTTTTTTTGCCTTTGTGCACATAAATGGCCTTACTACTTTTAGAGAATACAGCCCGTAAGAGTTAGGGATCCCTGGGCACCCTTTTATGCGCTAACATAACAACTCCTTTTCCATCAGTCTTTTAATCAAAAATGTCACTACATTTCCTCTTTATTTAGAAAAGGATCTTACCAAGTACTCCTCTGCTTTAAACATCTAAAGAACAAAATAAACTAAAAAAAAAAAAACAGATGTATAAGTACACCAATGTCCATACACGGTTTATTAGATCAGAAACTGAATTCCATCATAATCTTAGAAGACATTTTTCCCAAGTGATTGTCAGAAATCTATGAGCAGTTTGTAAAGATTTGCCTTCAGGTCATTCTAAAATAGGTATATTTAAACATTCTTTTCAATGATTAGAAAAGAAAACCTCAGATTTCAAAAACCTAAAAGCTTGAGCAACCAAGCTCCTGAATGTACATATAGTGAAACCATCACTCAAATGAGAGACAGTTTAGAACTGGAAAAGCAAGGCCTGGACTCAAACTTCAAACTAACTAACTCAGTCAATTGTGTCCTTAAGCAAGTTAACTTGAGTGCTCTGACTTTGCTTCCTCTTTTGTAAAACTGGAGTCTCAGTTGTCACAGGGATAAGAGAGTCTATATGAGCACCACATCATGCACAGGAAAGGTCCAATTAGATAAACCCAACATACCCCGGAGCCACTGAAAAATGCAGACCAAAGAAAACATAAAGTTTTTGCTTGTGTTGAAAAAGCAGCTCACACAAAAAATAAGGACTAGAAGGTATACTCTAAAGGCAAACAAATTCTGTTACAGGAGTCATTAGAATTATCTGGACTACAGACTCAGAGTTTGCAGTCAGTTTTCCAACCAGCCAAATGATTTGCAGGGGTGGAGGGAGGAATAAAATCTTCAAAAGGTTCTGCTTCAAACAGACTCAGTGGAGCACATTTCAAGTTCACAAAAGAGGAGCATAGAGAGAAGCTAAGCAGCAGCTCAAGTTCCCCTAAAGTGACAGTGAACTTCAGAGATTCTTCCCAACTCCAAGGGAATTCTTCAGTGGCACAAACATCAGTCCCTACTGCAGTCAGTACTGTCACCATGCAGCACCTATTGTGTCAAATAATGCTGGGAACACAGAAGACACGGTGCAGTCTCTGCCAATATGTTAAGAGGAAGAAACCACAGAAGAGTAATCAAAGTTCTACCTCTCCCTCAGTATACCTGGGGGAAAGTTCCAAAACCTCCAGCGGATACCAAAAACCCAAGGACGCCCAAGTCTCTTATATTAAATGGTGTAGTATTTGCATATAACCTATGCAGGTCCCAGTAGGTTGTTAATGATCTCTAGATAACCTACAAGACATATGTAAACACAATCATGCATCGCCTTAACCATGTTTCAGTCAATGACAGGCAGTATACATGATAGTGGTCCCTATAAACAGCCTCCATGTTGTAGATTGGACAATCTAGATTTGCGTAACTATGCGCTATGACATTCACTCAACCATGAAACAGTCAATGACATGTTTCTCACTGCCCATGCTCACTGTTAACCAATGACTAGCTGCTAAACTGTAGTGTTTAGGGTATGATGCCCCAAAAAGGGACATACATACACAGACAACCATGCAGGCCTAATTATACAGTATGCTTTTTTAATCCACTATTAGAGAAATCCGCACATAAATAACCCATGGATACAGACAGCCAACAGTATTTGTAAAGTAAACATAAAGCATTAAGATAACAACTTTCCTCTCTCTTTATCTCTCCGGAATAAAGCGGCAGGCAGAGAGCCAACAGCTCTGCCCTGAGGCCCAGTCCACCTGACCCTTTCCGCCTTCCCAGCACCAGGAGCTCCGTAGGTTTCTATCAGTTCTTTTTTTTTTTTTTTAATGTATGCAAGAACTGGGGTACAGGCCAGAGGTGTTGGAGGGGGGCGAGGATGAGAGGATTCACCAAAGAGGAGAGCAGAGCAGGTAGACACCAGGGGGGGAGCAGTGGGCAGGTCAGGAGAGGACTGCTGTGCCGGTGGGTCACTCTCTGGCCAGAAACTGAACTCATGCTACAGTGGCTGCGGAAGCTTCACAGTGCTGTGCTTTAACCTGCACCACCAGGAAGGGCCGGTTTCTGTCAGTTCACAAAGCCTGTCACTCCCTCTGATCCCAGGGCCTCTGCATGTGCTGCTCCCTCACATGGAGTTATGCTCATCTCTTCTTGCTCTGCCTAGAAAAGTTAACTTGTCCTTCAAAACTTGTCTTCACTTGCAAAGGAAAACTCTCCCTTGCCTTAAGGAGCAAACTAAGAGCACAGCTCCACCTTCCTCACTCTTATCCCTGAGGTTTACCAGTTCTGTGGATGTGAGCAAGTCAAACAACACTTTCGGCCCCCATTTCTTGCTGTGTGATGGTGACCCCAGGGCTGATGTAAGGACTGAGTGAATGAATTCAGGCGGGGCACCAACACAATTAGCTCATACTCAGGCACAGGCCAAATTCTTCCATTTTATTCTCCCAGAGCGCCAAAGCCTCTCCCCGACAGCATTTTACACTTCTCTCTTCCTAAAAGACTACTCCTAAGAAAGAGAAACTATACCCACTCCCTTGAGATGGACCACCGGAAGTAGTCAATAAAGATTTTTTTTTTTTTTTAAATAGCTGAAAAGGAGAAGCTGATACCCAGCCAAGTGACTGGTCTAGGAAATGCCCCAGAAAACTCCCCAGCCTACCCCTTGCCACACTGGGCCGCCTCCTGTGCATATGGGCTTAAGTCTTAGGGCTACAAAGGATGTAGCCAATAAAGATTGGAACAAAGAGAGAGTAAGATAAAGAAAGATGTTGTGTAAGGTCACAAAGAACACAGAGGTGCCCAAGAGCCGGCATTCTGAAGCTGAGGCTGGGTAGCTCAAGCTAACATAGGATGGGACTTAACTCCATCTCCATGTCCAGTTCCAGCTCCTGAACCCCTCTTTTAGATTTCAGAGTAGGGGCCAGATCCTCTCTAAAGTGTCTTCCAATTTTAAAGCTCAGTGACAATAAATCACTTA